TTGTCTCTTTAGTGCCCATTTTCCTGTACATTCAACCTTCGTCTCTTTGAAGCCCATTTTCATGTACATTGTAACTTTGTCTCTTTGGTGCCCATTTTCCTGTGCGTTGAAACTTGTCTATTTGGTGCCCATTTTCATTGAAACTTCGTCTCTTTGAAGCACATTTTCATGTACATTGAAACTTTGTCTCTTTGGTGCCCATTTTCCTGTGCGTTGAAACTTGTCTATTTGGTGCACATTTTCATTGAAACTTCATCTCTTTAGTGCCTATTTCATTGAAACTTCATCTCTTTAGTGCCTATTTCATTGAAACTTCGTCTCTTTGAAGCCCATTTTCATGTATGTTGAAACTTCATCTTTGGTGCCCATTTTCATGTACATTGAAACCTCATCTTTGGTGCACATTTTCATGTACATTGAAACTTCATCTTTGGTGCACATTTTCATGTACATTGAAACTTTATCTATTTGGTGCACATTTTCATGTACATTATAACTTCGTCTCTTTAGTGCCCATTTTCATGTACATTGAAACTTTATCTATTTGGTGCACATTTTCATGTACATTGTAACTTTGTCTCTTTTAGTGCACATTTTCATGTACATTGAAACTTTATCTATTTGGTGCACATTTTCATGTACATTGAAACTTTATCTATTTGGTGCCCATTTTCATGTGCATTGAAACTTCATCTCTTTGAAGCCCATTTTCATGTGCATTGAAACTTTATCTATTTGGTGCCCATTTTCATGTGCATTGAAACTTTATCTATTTGGTGCCCATTTTCATGTGCATTGAAACTTCGTATATTTGATGCCCATATTCATGTGCATTGAAACTTCATCTATTTGATGCCCATTTTCATGTGCATTGAAACTTTGTCTATTTGGTGCACATTCATTTGTGATGCCTAGAAACATGTTAACTTACTATGATCACAATGTTGCATATATATATAGTGTCACGTATTACAAATTGAATTCTACTTTTAAATGGCTTGTCTAGGGGAACGTGACAACAGAAAAAGGTAGTTGTGTCACTTATCTTAAGTCTGAATTTAATCAGAGACTTACAATGAATAACAAAAAAAAAAAAATGACACAAGAAATCCAAAGGTAAAATATCAACTTAATGTTTAATCATAATATAACTCAATACAAAATGGAAGGGTTGACCAAAACCCTTTTACAAAAATGGCTTGTAAAAATATTACAATACAAGTGTTTGAAAATATAATTACAAATACAAGCAAGGCCTTGAAAAAGAAAAAAATCTTAACTTACACGATCGATTGGTATACCACGCACGGGTCACGCAATTTCTCCGCTATTCTGTCTCACGGCTGTCTCCGTATGTCTGTCTGTCAACGTTACGCGAGCGGTCTTTATATAATCTACCGCGCGTCGATATCTAGTAATTTCTAGAACAGTAAGTCATCAACACCCAGTTCTAGAACGCTCTTCAAAGAGACAGAAGAAAAGAAAAAAAAAAAACACCCTCCTTTCAACCAGAGGTACACACATAGGTCAAGGACCGGTCACTGTCTGTGTGGCTTGACTCACCGTGAAAAATAAAAAAAAAACTTATTACACAAGGGGCAGACAACCTACAGGTCAAGAGAAAAAAATAGTATCTAGGTAACAATGCCTAGATACGTAACAATAGCCTCTTGAAGGGTTATCGATAACATTTATTTCAATTAAAGTATTGGACTGGGAACAATGAGTCTGAAAAAAAACAACCCTGTTTATAAATAAACCTAAAAGTCACTTCACTCAACTTAAGATTTTGGTCTATCATATACTAGCCAGCCTTTCCTGATTTCATTCATTGATATGCAGATTTGTTATGAAATCTTATTTATGTCTTGAAATGTTTTGTGTTTGCAGGTGTTATTGGATATTATGGGCTTTAAGGAATCTCACAAACTGATGAACGGTCGCCTGTTCCTATGTACAGTGGCAATAGGTTTTGCCATGTTTGCTCTTCTCTGGGACTACTTATATCCATTTCCACAGTCCAGGAATGTGCTACTATGTTGTGTCATTTCGTATCCTTGAACAGATTTTTTAATATAGATTATAGTTTTTATTTATGTATCCATTTTTTTTTTAAACATATATAAATTTATTGATAATAAGTAACATATTTGAGTCCAGTTTCTGGGATGATGTAGAAAAGAAAGGAAAAAAAAGAAAAGCTACATTTTGTCAGGGATGGAGATTTTTCTGAAAATCAACAAATGATACCATTTAATGTCCCAAATCTGTTAGTAGCAAAACAAAATTTATGGATTAGCACCTAGATTTAGATGATTACTATTTTTTTTTAGCAGGTTGACTTTTACTTGGGAATGTAGATCTAGATCTTATAGTGAGTAATATATTCTTACATTTTTATATAACTAATAATTACTGCTTTAAAAGCCAAGTGGGGTAGTGCCATAGAGATCCACTTCTTGCAAGCTACTTGTAGATCTGCATGAAAGTGAGTCACACAAGAAGCCTCGTGTACAGTTTTATTATTGAACATTCCCTCTAAAGCATTGCTCCTCACCTGGTTGTTCTTGTTTCAGAACTCAGACGATTGCAAAGATAACTACACTTATGATGGTAGCTGTATAACAAAGTTCAATTCATCTCTTCATTACAATTCATTATTAAACTTAACCCAGCACTAGATACTTTGTTCTGATGGGGATATTAACATTTTATTTAACCTATGTGGAGAGAGGAATCTTTCTTGTGGCTCTGGAGCAGGACAAAGCCAGAATGGAGCCTGACAACAAGTGGACACTACAGTCATCACTACGCAAGTAAGTGTAACAGACCACTACACGTCGTAATTGTCAATGAATGCTAGTCGTAACTGTCCTTCATAATTTAATTTGAGCACAATCTCATTTTTCTGTATTCACAACGATGGCTTGTAGCTCAATCTAAAGCTTTAAAAGTTGATTACAGACTGATTCAGTAATTAGGTTTCTATTAACTTTGATCTATTTTTGCTTTTATAACTCTTTATGCTTCGTATCCGAAAGCCACACTTCGTCTCGGGTCTGATAAGGCTAGGGAGACAAATGAGAGTGACAATGGGAAGAATGCTGCTGCTTCGGCCTAATGGAACTCTTTTCCCTCCATGTTTCCACTATTATTTTAAATGATTTAAGAGGTCTTGTGTTGTATGTTTGTGTTGTGGCCTGGTTTGGTAAATAAACATTTGCTAATTGTTTTAGTCACTGGATGGTCCTTGTAAGATGTTGTATTTTTTTAAAGTGTAGTTGCGGTTTCTAATTCAAATGAAAAAAATGATCGGCGTTTATTATTATTGAGGATGGTGGCTGAGCTGTAAAGAGTTTGGCTTCCAAACTGGGGGCCCGGGGCTCAAATCCTAGTGAAGACTAGGATTTTTTATTTTGGGATCTTTAAGCGCCTCTGAGTCCACCCAGCTCTGATGGGTACCTGACTTAAGTAAAGACGGTTGGTTGTGCTGGCCACATGACAACCTCGTTAACAGTAGGCCATAGAAACAGATGATCTTTACATCATGTACCACAAGGTCTGAAAGGGGAACTTTACTTTAACTTTTACTATTATTTTTGGTTGCTATAAAAAGTTTCATGTAAAATTTTTTCTTCTGTACCTGATGTTCCATTTGTTGAGAAAACAATTGTCCAACGAACCAGTTTATTACATTCTCAGATATGACGACACCTATCACCTGACAGTATCATTTACAGACGGCAAAACACAAGCAGAGAGAAGTACAACCATTTCTAGGTGTGTTGCCAACTTCTTTGATGACAATGGCACTTTCCGCTTCGACTTGTTTCAGCCTGTTGTCAGAAAACTCAAAGAGGACCTCAGCAGTGAGAAAAAAATGAACTGAAAATTCTTCCATTCCTGGTGACAACAAAACATCATCTAGAAATCAAATTGTCTTAAAAGTTGATGGAATTTTAATTAATATTTATAATGAGAGATTTATAAATGTATGCTCATTACCACCACAAACATGCACGTCTGGAAAAAATAAAGTGCATTACAAGTTGTTGAATGATAGATGTATTAGAATTGAATTACATTTGAATGTTTTATTTCTGAGAAAAACTAAGTCATTTGTTAACATGTTTTACGAGGGTCGTGTGTAATTGTTGTTCACTGTGAAGTCTGTGCAGAAGATGGCTCATGGAATGATACAGAAGTTTGAACAAAAAAAGGAAGAAATTTGTATTCAATCTAAAGTTTAACAATTTTTAGTTTACACTCTGGCAGTAATTTGAGGACAATCATAAGGGAAAAATAAAAGTATTTGGATGTGGTTCCTGGTTATAGTATTTATATCAACAAAAGATAAACTTTTTTTTTTTAACCAGCATTTGATTTGGGTAATGTTACAGTCTTACAAAACTATTGATATTGATGTATAATCTTATCTGATGTTGAAATTCCTTAAAAAAAAAATATTTTTTTTGTCCAATAAGAGCATTGGACCTTTTTTTTTTTGCTTTTAAAAATGATCATCTCTGGTTTCCATATCAGTGAATAAACCAATGGGTTCTGTAACATGACATGCAAGTCTATTCAGTCATCATTTACAGCACCAACATGCATTTTTTTTTTTTTTTTAATCCAAGTATTAATTGAGTTGTTTATTGTCTTTACATTTTTCCACATAGTTTGATGGTAAAAATAAGTTTATTATTGTCTTGGAATTTATAGACATTGAATTGATTCTGACAAGATTTTGCAACAGTATCTTTTGAACTTGCTAAACTAGTTAGTCCACATTGGTACAATGTTTAGAGCTTTGGATTTACGATTGCTTATTCGAAACACTTCAAATAGATCATTATGACAAAAGATTTTGTTTAGATTATTTTTTTTTTTTTTTTTTTCTATTTATTTTAGGTTCTAAATTTCATATTTTGATACTTAATCAAAACTGTTGACTTTTTTTTTCATCTTTATTTTTGTTGATTGATGTAGGCCCCTTTTGTGAGCTGCACAAGTTAAATAATAATTAAGTTAATTATGATTTACTGTCTAAATTATCCTGATATGAATGCAATAAATTGTTTTCTTTAAAAAAAAAAAAATCTCAGTATTTGGTAATAAATTAATTTTCTTCCTTTAAAGGTACAGTTAAATTGAAATATTTCTTGTTTACTCAATATTTGTAGAAACTTCTAAAGAAATAGATTACAAAAAGGATGAACTCTTGTGAACATGAAAGTACTTTAGTTCCATGGTAATCAAAGATACCTGGAATGTCCATTTACTTTTTTTTTTCCCTTGGCATGTTTTCATAGCTCACCATTGGGACCTGGCGTTTTACATTTAATATTAGGTGTTGGTGTCATTTTTACATACAAACAATTTTTTGTTGTCTTAGCTTTATTGTTCTATTGTTTTTGTCATTCAGTGCTAGCTTCAAAATGTTTTCAGTGACCAGCAGTCTGTCAATGTTGTACAAATTTGTGTGTCATTTGGAGAAAAAACATACCACTTTGGCAGTGACATGGTGAACTGATAATACAAAGTCGAGTCTTTTTCTCTGATTGGAACATTTGACTTCTCATTTGTTTTTTTTTAAAGATAATGTGTTTCATTCTATTTTTATTTATTATGCTGGTAGAGGTAGGCCAATGTGAAAGCATGGGACGAGAAATTATTTTAATGTGAAGTTGAAATGCATTAGAGTATCAAAGAAACCATTTGTTCAGCAAAGTTACAACCGTTTAGATTTTTACTGTTGATTGATTGAATGGATTCTTTTGTTTGTTGGATGGACTGTTGATTATTAAACAAATATTTTCAAAATGCAAACATATTGCGATCAAGTTTTCTGTATTGTTCAAGTTGAATTGTTTTATTGTCTACACGTGGGAGCTTAAAGAATTTGCTGACAAATTTAAACTGCTGACACAAACTAAATTTATTTTTGTCAGCTAGTTACCACCCAAACCTTTTCATCTTTAACATAAACTGGGTTTGTTTTTTTACCATTTCTATTATTTTACAATTTTGTTCATGGATGGAAATGTGAACAAAATTTTTTTTGTTCAATGACAAAATGTGAATGTTTAATTTTCATATTATTAGAACTAAACTTGACTTAATCCTGTGCACTCCCAGGGGAGCATAGGGCCGCAACCACACCTCTCCACCGAACTCAGTTCTGAGCAGCTTTCTTCATCTGCTCCCATGTCATTCCAGTACCCTCAGCTTCACTGATGACTGACCTCTTCCAGGTTTGCTTGGGTCTGCCCACTTTCCTCTTTCCTTGTGGGTTCCAGTCAAGTACCTGCCTTGCAACATTGGTAGCTGGTTTTCGCAGGGTGTGTCCTATCCTGCTCCGTTTTCGTTTTGTGATGTCTTGGGCTATGGGCTTTTGTCTAGTTCTCTCTCACAAATCGATAGTAGGTATCTTTTCTGGCCACCTAATGCCTAATATCCGGCGTAGGCATCTGTTAACAAAAGTCTGGAGCTTTTCCATATTTGTTATAGTGACTCTCCAAGTTTCTGAACCGTTTAGAAGGACAGACTTAACGTTTGTATTATAGATTCGTATCTTATTAGAACTAAAACTTAACATTTATTTTAAAATTTAAAAAAAACAAAACTTTCAACAGGAATAACTTTGGGAAGCATTTCAGTTCACGTACTAAATATTTGCAATATCAAAAACTTTCTCTTGTTCAATAAAACCATTACAAATGGTACAAATTAATGTGCCAGTGGAAACAGGGTTAGACCTCAGGTGGGACAATTTTTTTTTTTAAATTTATTATGACTAGACTTATCCTTTGCGTAGATGAAGGTTAATTAACTAAAATCATTAAGTCTAGTGCATTTCTAGAAATGGTCAATTTAGAATTAGGAAACATAAATAGTATTTACTGTATTATTCTTATCAAATACAGACACTTCTTCAAAAGAGAAGATATTACGTCCTACATGTATTGTACGTTAATCTTAATCATGCATATTAATTAGAGATTTTTATTCTGCTAAATCATTAGTCAAAGTGTTTTGGAATGAGAACAAAGTCAGTCATGAAGAAAGTACATTGTTTTTTTTTATTTCTATCAGTAAGTACATCTCTCAACATGACATTAAGATGTAAATAGTACATTCGACCAATCAACATGAGCTCAACCCTATGTACATATTTACACTTGACTAAGACACAGCATACAATTATGTACATACAGGGCACCTGTACATGTGACAACTTTGGTTGTCAATGAGCTAGAAACACAACAGAAAATATTACAATTAAGTAATTTATAGTAAAGAAAAATGAACGCCAATGCAGTTCTTGAAACCAGCTGACATTTTAGTCTACCCTATGTTTTCTACTGCAGGAACTGTTTTTTTTACCCAACACACAAATACGGGTGTAAGATAAGCAGATACTCTTGTAGGAAACTAAAACCGGAACTAGAAGAACATCTTTCAGTTCAGAATTTCTAAATGCCTCATCTTAGCAAAAGAATAGATGGACGCTTCAAAGAATCTAATTAGGGAAAAGATTAATAACACCAAGCAGAAAATTTAAAAGCCGACATTTGTCTCAGCTTGATTTGCCAAAGGATATACTAACCCAGCAAATAAAGTGAATGCTACATTCTGTTAAGAATCTTAATTTATTGTTAACATTCTTTAAAAAACAGCAAAGACTAGATGCTGTATTATTGTTTTATACAAAATTGTCATTTCTTAAAAATATTAACACTGAGAAACTTTCCCAATTCAGTTTAGATTTAGAAGAGACTACTTTTACATAATCTGACACATTTTAAAATTTAAATAAAAACCTCTCGCTTTTTGAATTCGTATACCCAGCGCAACATCTTTGTACAAAATAAATTAGACTAAATTTAGCACTTGTATTTTGGCCAAACAAATACAAATTACAATAAATTGATCAAATATATTTCATCAAATACAGGATTAAAAAAACAACATTTCTCTTTGTTTGTTTTGCTAGCGATGTGATCAATTAAGTGAAATTTTTATAGTTTTATAAGACTGAAGTAAGTCATAAATTGTGTCTGCTAGAGGATTAGGGACATGGGCGTACAGAACAAACACAGTTCTATTTAATTTTCATCTCTGTAGTAATCAACTAAAACTACAGTCTCTCATGTAGTAAATTTGATAGTGTCTTACTGGTCAATACATACAATGGAATAAAAATTTCATTTCGGTCAGACATTTAAAAAAAAAGTTCAATAAATTATGAACAAAACAATAAATTATTAACAATATAAACACTCAAAAAATAATACATTGTATAGTTGTATAATAAATGCCACATTATCTTTTGCTTTACGGAGAAAAAAAAACAAACAAAAGGTTTGGCACATGAAAAATGTCTCCTGTCCAAATGATCAAAAGCTTTATCAATGTATTGCTACATAATAACAGAAGGTGGGGAACACGCCAGCAATCAGCTTTTCAAAGTAAAGATTGAACTCAACGGTTGTCTTCACTTTGTAAACTTTGTCAAGAATAACTTAATAGACTCTCACTGTTAGTGAAACGTAATCTTCTAGAAGAACAGAAGGCAGATAAAATCACATAAAGAAGGAATGCATCAATATGATGACAAGAGAATAGCAGGTGCTGTACACTAAACAAAGTTTATTGATAACTTGATAGAATCAACCGCGTCATTACGATCTGGAAAAGGTGGATAGTTGCAGAAGAAACAAAGTTATGGCAGGAAAATTAAGTGCATTAATCACTGCTATACTTAGAAACTGTCATTGAAACCTCAAATAAAAACTTGAAATGATAAAATAAAAAGTTTATTCAGGCTTGGTCGACATTTCTCATATCAACTGCTGTATGGCTCCTGCTGTCTCGGAAGACAATGGATGCGCCCAGATGAGTCACTAGGTTTTGGCTTCATCTTGAGATTGGACAGAACCTGGTGTGACTAATCAAGCCAATTCTGGAGTGGCAGAGTTTGCCACAGTTTGTGTACAGGTATATATATATATATATGCATATATTTTAGAGCTAGCTGATATGGCAGCTGTCTTTTTCTTTCTCTTAACTAAAGCAAACTATAAGATGTTTGTAAAATGTTTGACATGTTTCAGATGTTCCTTCAGAGTTGAAGATAATTTATCTTCCTAGTCCAAACCTCTGCAGGACGACGGGGGATGACAGCAGGGAGCATATGAACACGGGACCATCAACAAGTACGAACAATAGTCCAGAGCATATACCGCATGATCAGGCAGATATAACAAGTTGGTCAAACATTTAGGGTTCTCCAATATCAATACAAACAAAATTTGAGAAATATCTTTACCTTCAATCATAAGGGTAATCATCAAGTCTTAAGATTTATAAAGAAAGCAAAATTATATGTGGCTAAGATGACCCAGCCATAACCTACATATTTATGATGAATGAAAATTGTTTGACTAGTTTTGACAAAGTGGCCAAGTGGAAGAGCATGCTGGTGCAAAGAAGCAGGTCTCAGATCATATACTGGCAATGTCATACATGTTCGTTATGGTAGAGTTCTAATAGGTCTACACTAAGACACTGGTGTGTATTAGTAACCTCACGAGACAGTAACCTGTTTTAATACAAAAAGCCTTACCCACTGACACTAGGAACCAGAGTATCAAATATGCTCAAAATAAAATCAAATTAAAAAACAAAACTGCTCATATAAATCAGACATATTAGTCTGTACAAATTCATAACATTGGCCTGTACAAATCAGACATTCATAACATTGGCCTGTACAACCAAACATTCATAACATTGGCCTATACAAATCAGACATTTATAACATTAGTCTGTACAAATCAGACATTCATAACATTAGTCTGTACAAATGAAACATTCATAAAATTGGCCTGTACAAATCAAACATTCATAAAAATGGCCTGTACAAATCAAACATTCATAAAATTGGCCTGTACAAATGAAACATTCATAACATTGGCCTGTACAAATCTAAGTTTCATAACATTGGCCTGTACAAATCAATTCATAACAGTGGCTTGTACAGATCACATTCATAACATTGGACTGTACAAATAAAGTAATCATAACATTGGCCTGTACAAATCAAACATTCATAACATTAGCCTGTACAAATCAGACAAACCATTGGCCTGTACAGATCACATTCATAACATCGGCCTGTATACATCAAATTAGCTAACAATACATTTTTTAATATTAATTACCAGCAAGTGGCTGAGAGGTAAGCTTTTAGCTGCCAATCAGAAGATCTCTGGTTCTAATCCTGATGGAGGCACTGGGATATTCATTCTGTATTGGAAGGAAACTCTTACCAGGAACTAAAACACACATCAGTTGAGACTGTTTCATTTCTATACATGATTAAATGTGACCATCTAGCCTCACAATGGCAGCAAGTACTAAGTCCATACACTACTATCTCCAGACATGCTGATGGTGAGCTCTATGTGTGTAAGATTTCCTACCACCAAACTACTCATATAACTGTCTGAGGCTTGTCCTCTGCTAATCTTACCTTCTTTAATGGAGATGCTGTATTTGAAAATGCCTGAAAATTAAAAAAAACAACATTTGAACTAAATGAAGTGGATAAATAGATCATGCAATCAATGAGGGGAAAAGATTTATTTGTTCTACAGCTTTTTATTTTAGATAATACAGTTTTTAAATAGTTTCTGTTGTTTTTTTTTGTTTTGTTTTTTTAATAAATCTGACAGATTTTTAAATAGTAGCACTACCTTGACTTGCTTCTCTTGTAATTTCGAAAGTTCTAACTTGTAATAGGTCATGACCTCATCGCAGTCCCT